ATTCCTGGAGGTATTCAAAAGTTGGGTAGATGTGGCACTTTGGGACATGGTATAATGTTGGGCCTCGCAGTGCTGGGTTGATGGTTGGACTTGATGATTTTAGAGGTGTTTATGCAGGGTTCTGAAGGGGAGAGACATCTGTGCATTGTAATAACACCTCTCTAATGATTTATGTCTCTAATACCTAATATCTCTAATATCTCCTTGCAGGACTGCATGAAAATGCTTTGGGAACTCTGTTTGAAACTGCAACTTCAGGTTAAGAACTGCTGGTAGCACATTAAGGTTTCAGAAGAGGCCAGAAGAGGGTCTAGCAGATTTTCTGTTAGTTGTGAGTAGTTTTGAGATGACAGCAGACTATTAGCAAAGGCAAGTCTGTCAGGAAAGGTTTTGACATCAGCTGCAATAAGAGGACATTGTCAAATAGGTTTCAGGGATGGTTTATAGCCTTTACAACTCTCCTAACCGTGTTCCTTTGAAGGTGAAATTGGGATCTGGTTTCTAGCCCATCTTACAGAGAGAAAACCCATCTCCTTTGACCCAGCAATCCTTTATTGATTTTCTTTCCTTGTTACTAATGGTGCTTGAAAATAACTTGTAGTTTATATCTGTGGCCTTATGCCTGTGCTTGCACTGTGTCTGCTGTTGGGATATTTTTGAAAATAAGCTTTGCTGCCTGTTCACACACCATCTGTTGGCTTTTAGGAAAGGTATTAGGTATGACTTGCCAGATAGTCAATGAGGCTCCTTACATCTGCCTACAATCCCTTGCTAAAGCCTATTGACCTGTGCTACCCCTACATCCCTGGAATGATAGAATACCAGGGCAGATCCTTGGGTCAGTGCCACATGTCAGGGCTGAGTGTGTGTACATAACCTAACACAGAAATAATGTTTATGGGACCTGCATTAACCATGGCTATTTTAAAAACATTTGTTTTTGTTGGAAGAGAAATGAAAAATAAAAGGAGTGCAGAGGCCATTTCTCAGTGGATTGTGATCACCCTCACTCCCTTGCAGCTCCCAGATGTCAAATTTTGGTTGGAATCAGCTTGAAAAACCTTGAAATTTTACTGCCTGACAAAGTGGATGTGCTTCATTTTGTAAGTGTAAATAACCCTCTGGTTACTCTTAACATTTTTTTGTATGCATATTAGCACTTTTCTATCTGGTTTCACTGCTGTGCAATGCTTTGTTGAGGGTGGTGCAGTTTGATGCTATAGGACAGTAGTGATTTAGCTACTACATGACCATGTTTTGTAGTTAATTTTCCTCAAACCACTGTAGATACCTTAATGCTACAACTTCCCATTTGATTTTTGATTTTTATTGCTGATCCTATGCCATCCCGTTTGTATTAATAGCCACCCCTGGTACTCAGTGGCACACACAAAAATGCCATTTGAGTATTTGTGGCTTTCCCTGATGCATGCCAGGATGATACATTGCACTTTTCCAGTGTGCTCATTATGCTGTGATGAGCTCAGCTGTCACTCTGGATTTCTATTCCCTCTGTATTTTGTGAAGCTCTAAGAATACTTGTCAGCTCCAACCTGAGCATTTGCATTGTGCCTCAGCTAGAACAGACTTCACTTACTTTAACCAGAGACTTGTACATAGGCTCTACAGCAACTTACATGAGCTAAAACATCATCCTGATTTGTTTCCACTGAAGTAAATGGCAACAGAGTGAAGATAAAAATTTCTGTGAAATCTGTTGAAAGCTTTTTTAGTTTGTTTCAGTGGACTTCTAGTCATGTTGTAAGCCAACAACCATTGTCTAAATATTCATTTATTTCATCCACCCCTAATTCTCCTAATACTCCCCTAATATCTCTTCACAGGTAATAGTTCTGCTGATTGCCAGTGTCCTGGTGGGGTGAATACTCCCTCCTCTGCCTGGGGATGGCAACAAACTCTGTGGCATGACACAGAATCCTGCACTGGGATTTGGCACTGTCCTTGCTCTGAGCTGGACTTCTGCAGCCAGGACATCTGAAGCAAATATCTGGGACATGATAAAATCAAACAAAAGATGCACAAAAAATCCAGCTGTGAGGATAACTTTCTTTTGTCTGTCTTTGGTTTAGCACAACTCTGTTTTCATCCATGTTTATGTGCAGTGGGAAAGGGATGGTGAGTGGAAGCCACTGGGTAACAGGAACAAGGCATGTGCTTGGAGTCTGATCTCTTTCATCAGAGAGAACTGTTTCTACCTGAAAATCTTACGGGGTGTCAGAGTAGGTTTCTGTAGGCATCCATGGTATAAGGGGGGTTGGAACTAGATGATCTTTAAGGTCCCTTCCAACCCAAAACATTCTATGATCCTGTATAATTGAATTTGTGCTAAAGGAGGAGCTTGGATTTACAACCTCAGTGACTGCAGAAGTGGGCACTGCACCATGCTTGGTCCCTTCCCTGT